CACCACGGCCAGCTCCTGGACGAACTTGCAGTCCGCGAGTCCCTTCACCCGCATCCAGTAATTACCAACGGCTGCGTCTGCGTTCAGAACAAAGTCGAACCTCTCCCCTCCGTAGATGATGTAAGAGTCGGTTTCGGTGGGTTCTAGGGGAGCACCGTCGCTGGCAATGATGTTTAGAGTGTGGTTGTCGATGGAGACTTTGAGAGCGCAGTTGGTGATGGCGTTGCTGATAGTCCGGAACCGGTACCTCTTCCCTTGTTGGATTTCGAAAACCTCGCGCTCTGTGAATGAAGTTTGATTTGTAACGGGGTCTGTAAAGGCCACTCGCCGGCCCTTCCCGTTGATCAGCACCGACTCGGGCTTGTTGCTGCCGTTGTCGTGGTGGTGGGCCGCGAATTTCACCAGGGTGACCTGGTCCAGCCAGTCGTGGAGTAACACCACGTGCTCCGGAAGGTCGTAGTCGTACAGGGACCCATGCTGCTCGCGTTGCGTGGGCTGGCGCACCACAAGCGCGCCGAAAACCCCATCCGCGCGTTGCATGCCGGCGTGGGCGTGCCACCAGTGCGTGCCGTACGTCTCGGCCGGAAAGCTGTATGTGAAACTTGCACCGATTGGGATGGGACACTGGGACGTCATGACCGTGCCGTCCATGTAGGGTGTGCCGAACTGGTGCGGGCCGTGCCAGTGCACCGTGGTCCCTTCCGAGTAACTTTTCAAGTGATTGTTGACTTTCACTTCCAAGGTGTCATGTTCACAGATCTGCAATATGAGAAGAAGAAAAAAACTTGTAGCCGAGAAAAACTTACGTCTCCTGGTAATAAAAATTATCTGAAAGGTTCTCAGAGAATTTCCTAGGAAAATTTGTCGAAAGACAATTTCGGTTCTGACAACTTTGTTTTAAAAAAGAGAGAAAGTTAAATGCAATAGTGTCTTTTGAAAAAACGTCGAAAACCAAAATCATGAACAGAAAACCATGTTAAAACAAATTAAAACCAAGCTCCAATCACAGTGTACTATAGGACTTGCTCTGAAATTTGAAGAAAAAAAATCTTTTTGGCCGCTGTTCCCTTTTCAAAGAAAACAATTACGGTGTTTACGAATGAGGAATAACAATTTTAGCAACTGAACAATCCGACTTCCCGAGTTTTCCACGGATGTGAACTATTTCGAGATTTTTCCCTCCCCCCCACCAATCATTTCACCCTACCTGTTGCAACTCTCGGAAGCCAGCGTACGTACCTGGATACTCGGTCCGGGAAACATGCGGTTGACCACGGCCACCGACCTAGCTACCCCGTTCAGCGCGATGCAGTCTGGCCGTGCGCAGTCCGTACGGTTGAGCGGACAATCGTAGCACGCCTTGGACATGCTGTAGTACCACTCCAGCGTGAACTCGTAGCGGCAGGTCCGGGGCTTTGCGGGCCATTCGCACGGCCGGAGACACTCGTGGGTAAGGTCAGATGGAGACAGTGCTGTATAAAAAAAGAGGTAAATAAAAGGTTTATTTCAACGACACTTTTGCTCAGTTGTAAACTCGGGCGATTGATTTTTGGTGGCATAACTCCGGCCAAGAAGGCTTGTTCATGTAATAAAACTAGTTTCTTTTGGAACTTATTTGCATTGACATGTAATTTGGTTTTGTGCACATAATTAATTAGTTTCAAGCATTTTATTTCAAATACAGGCATTCACAAGTTCATGTCCAATCTTTAAAGGTCATTCCGACGTTTGCTTTTTGTGAATTTCATTTTCGTTTAAAGTAACACAAAAATAGATACTACAATTTTTGAGAAATAAGGGGGAAAATTGCACATTATTTGGTTTCGGGTCTCTAAGTCGTGCTGACGTGACGCACGTAAAAAATACCCGCGGTCACGCACAGTTTGCTATACCAATACTGTCCCTTTCTTCCGAATGGTACGGTATGCAATTTCAAGCAGAATAACTTCAAAGTATATTTGTTACCAGTCCTATATCTTAACTAGTATGAGCAAAGATTTTCTTGTTAAATCGGTAGGTATTTTCTGCATGTTCTGGGTAATTGCAAATGTGTAGTCCAAGGCCATCACTATACTAGCAGCGGCACTTAGTCTTAGTCCCCCCCCCCCCCCCAACCCGCCCCCGCTCCGCCAGGCTTGCAAGCGTGTTATACCACATGGTGTTATATATTAACAATAAATAGCAAATCCAGCTTACCATGTGCACTGGTGGCAGCTAGTACCAGTCCGATGACTCCAATCAAACAACTCAGCTCGAACTGCACTCGAACTTCGACCATCGCTATATACATGTAGTCACGGGACTGTCCTACAAACTTGGGTATAGAAACTATGGCACCGTATACGCCTTTGGGAAAAAGCTAATTAATTTCAACAGTTGGCAGCAACAATTATAATGTGCTACCAAATAATGATTGCTCCGAATGGACTCCTGCACGAACTGTGAACCCTTACCCAATCGTAACGGTGTTCTCGTTCTCGGGTAAAAATGGTGTTGAGTCAAACAAATTCCGCACAGCAAGTTGCACACTGAGTGAACTTGACCACAGGACGTACGGCCCAGGTCATCACACAAATCAATAGAGTGGTGGAAATTGCTGCGGCGTAACCCTGCAATCAAATAGCGTTTGCCTACGTCATCCACTTGTTTGGTGACACGTCACTTTATGGCTCTCACGACCCGAACTTGCCACGGTCCCTATAGTTTCCCGTGGGTATGAAATGAATAGGTCGCCCACAACAAAGCAACAATGAGTTTGGCTGCAAACTATGATCAGAGTTCCGATCCCGGCACACACATCCGGGGCGACAACTTTCGTAGATTGCTGATGTGGCACGTGCGAAGCAAATGTCTGGAACGAGTGTACTGAAAGTATGTCCATATATAGGCCCTAGGCTTCGCAAAATCTGTTCTTTTACTTGTGGAAAGAATCCTGGATACGGAAAGAAAGTGTTCCACCACAGCCCAGTTGTAAGTTGTAGTGGTGAGCAGCTGCTTCCTCGATCGAGATATCTCATTAATATACATTTGAGAGTCCGTGCCACCCCAAATAAACACTGTTACACCCTAGTTACACAAACAGTGACCGAGTGGGAAACGCTAACGTGCAATCGGAATGATCGCCCAAGGAATTTGCTTTTTGATTTGGGCCATCAATAAAAGATATATTCTGCCTAGCACTAATCTGTGAACCCAAGTCATTATATGTGACAGGCACGTGAGGTGTTACATAACAATTTGTAACTCTCGTTATATATTATCACGATTTTAATAGTTTCGTAACGAGCAATCTTTAGATAATGCGAAGTTTCGTAAGGCTTCCTGCCGCCCCCCCCCCCCCCACCCGCCTTCAGAAACAGAAGTATGCATACACATCCGAGTTTCATGCGATTGCGCAGTTTTTGGTATTTTGGGTGGCTTTTTTTTCCAACCATTTTTGGGATGATCCAAAGCTCAATGTACACAAAGTAGGCCTACTCCCCTTCAGTGTTAGCAATACAGAGAACATAGCAATACAGGGAACGGCATACTTCCACTACCTTGAGCTCAGACAAGTACAATGGATGGAGAATCTCTTTTAGAAAATATATTTATGATATACCACGATCTCCCGATTCCGTCCAGTAGTTTCTGCTGCAGAGCCCATTTTGTGAAGCACACATCTTTAATTTGGGTATAATTATATAAATCCCTCTCAAATTCGCGGGCGCGGGACAAAATAACTCCCGACTTTGTTTCAAAAGGCTCCAGAACAAAACCTACTGGACCGAATAGGGCGATCTTGCAGTCATTTTTCTTTCAACAGAATTCCCCATGCATTGGTATAGGTTGTTTGAGTCTCAGGGTAGCGCAAGTACGACGTTCGGGTTTTATTTTGGGGGCCAAAATAAGAACGCACGTGCGATGGTCGTTCAGACGTGGAAGCGTTTGGTTATCAGAACCGTTTAGTTAGCGTAATTCTAGCATCGGGTTGGTGCATAGACTGGATCGCTCTTTTCCCCTTTTTATGCTTATCCTTTTATAATCAAGTTTAAAGATCGCCCCAGATTTTTCCTAGATTTTCAATTTTGTGTTTAATTTTTACTGGACGGCATTGTTGACAGGCATATAGGATCATTTGCATTTATCCCAAGGTTATAACCTACCGAATTAATATCAAAAAGCTCACTTGGATTAAAGATCGAACTAGTACTAAACACCCCGTGAATTTATTCCATCTGGCTTGCTGTCATTTAAAAAAAAAAGAAATGTCGGTGATTTCAACTAGGCCTACCTAATTTTTGGAATAAAGAGTCCCATTGACCAAACACGTTTCGTTGTGCATGGTTGTGCATGGTTTTCACTGTTCCTCGAAAAGTGTATTATCCACTGAGCTGAAACTTTAACAGGTTAGGTATTGAACATTCTATGGAGGATCTTCCTTCCTGGATGTTTGGATTGTGATGAGTGGTGTTATTTTTTTGAAACGAACAAAATGCATGAAAAGCAAATGATCCTGTATGTCGGTAATTCACATGAGAAATAGTCCGCAAAATCTGGTACAAAAACAGAGCACTACATTTCTCCCCGTCCCTCCCCTCCCCCCCCCCCCCCAAAAAAAGGTCCAACTTAGGCGAAGTAAAAAAACACATGTCTCTCGTCCCCGCCCGCTTCCCTTTTGGAGGCCACCTGGATTTTTTTTCAATTATTTTTTATTTTTGAAAAATGCAGTAAAAGAACACCGAAAAAGTCCACGGTTAAAGCAAATGCATCTAAAACTGTTCATTGTAGACCAATACAACTCTTAAATGACACTGTAAATATGTTCAGTTCTCTTGTCCAACTTGTCTTTCATTTTAAAAATGTCTTTGAACAGGGGAAACACCAACGGTTCCAGGAAATTTGAAAATGGCAGCCATCTAAAAAAAATAAAAAATAAAAAATAAAAAGCCCCTCTTCCTCCTTTTTTTCAAAAACCCGGACGAGAAACATGTATTTTTTTATTCGGCCTTATAGTTTTATGGTGAATTTTGATGGTATGGTGAACTGCTTTTTTTTTTGTTTATTGGAAAGTTTCTGATGTATGATTTCTGGAATGCTTGGCGCGATCATTCACACGGGCGCAACGGAGCGTTGCTTTCAGACCACTCCGGAAGTTCTTGTTGAGGAAAGCGAAGGCGACGGGGTTGATGCAGACGCTGCACATGGCGAACCAGTGCAGGCAGAGATACAGCACGCTGCTTTTAAGCTTCTGGTTGAAGTTGGTGACAAAGACGTAGAGGTTGAGCGGACACCAGCAGACAGCGAAGACGGCCACGAACAGGACCAGCTTGAGAGTGGTGCGCTGCTTGGCCTTGTTGTTGGCCCGCTGATGCTGGGCCATCACGCTGCCCACGTTCCCGCGAGCTCTCAGCTTCAGGTAGATGCGGAGATAGGCTGCCGATATCACGGCCAGAGGGATCAGCAGCTGGATGAAGAATGTCACGAGGGCCACGTACTTCCAGAACCAGAGGTCATTGGAGGCCACAGAGATGAGACAAAGCGTGGCTCCGTTCCTGATTTCGGTTTGACGGAAGAGGGCGTACGGGATGGACAGCAACAACGCCAGAGCCCAAACGAAGCTAGCGACGCCCAAAGCAGTGCGCTTTGCGATGCGAGGCCGGTGCGGATACATTATGTACCGGTGCCGGTCCAAAGCAATCGCCGTCAACGTGAACGTGGACACGTAGACCGACATCATGCCCATGTACTCGGCCAGGTGGCACATCAGGTCGCCAAAGGGCCAGTCAAGCACCATTTGGTGGTATGCGGTGAAGGGAATGTTCAGAATTGTCATGACGATGTCCGACAGAGCCTGGTTGGCCAAGAAGAAGTTGGTGACACTGCGCATGCGTTTGTTGCGCACCACAGCGAGGCAAACGAGGGCGTTCCCCAGCAACGACAAAATGACGACGCTCGTATAGAGCGGGATAAAGGCGGCCACGGTGCCGGCAGGGACCTTCTGAAACTCAAAACCAGGGCGGTTCGCTGGCGCAGCAGTTGCGTTAATGGAGTCGCCGCTGAAGTTCGTATTGTTGATTTTGTTGTCGAACAGCTTAGCCAGATCCTTGAACGGGGTTCCCATGGTGTATCGACGGAATCAGTACCTGGCTGATCCACAAATCTGGCCAAAACAAAATGAATTAAAATAATCATGTATAGTGTCTCAAATAAGAGCACGTGGTTTTCTTTCTTTTTATCTGACATCGGTTTAAACCTGGCCCTATCTCGCCAAAGCATTTTTTCGTGCAAGCACACACCTGTATATAAACCTGCATATATATTTTTTTATAATACAAACACGGGCACACGCATTACAAGCACAAAATCGGACATACAACAATGCAACACGAAACGACAAATCCCTCCCACTCGCTCAATATCTCTTTGCCATGCATTGAAAAGCAAGTGCGAGTGCACAATAAGCTCTGGCGAAAAAAAGCCTCGCCGATGGCACACATGGAACACCATACTTTTGGTCAATTTTCAGGACAGACAGATAGACCATCCGACCGACCGACCGACCGACCACCAAGTGACATGTAGAAGCTCCTGCCAGAGCTTAAAAATCACACCCGCCCACCTTTTGGGGACACTCCTCCTTTTGGATACTGTCCAACAACTACACAAAATGGCGTCCACCTCAGTGTTCGAGGAAGATGTTATATGTGTAGCGCAAGTGCGAGTGCACAATAAGTCTCGCATGACAATCTTGCATGAAATCGATCAAAATAATCCCTGCCAGAGCTTAAAATGAAATCGATGAAAATGATCCCTGCCAGAGTTTAAAAATAAGACGGCGATCAATGCGACGCAGATGGCACATATGGAACACCATACTTTTTGGTGAATTTTCGGAGACGGACAGACAGACAGACAGACAGACAGACAGAACGACCGACCTCCAAGTGGCATGTAGAATCTCCTGCCAACTCAACACCAAATGCAACGACGTAATACTCCACTTAGATAGCGTCTAAATCGATTGAATCCGAACGGAACAGTGCCGGGCGTATGGGTATGTTTATGATAAGTTGTTCTATGCATGTACCGAGTTTCATAATTTTTCGTCACTCGATGGTCGAGATCTTAGGGGGCGGAATCCGCCCCCCGGCTGTGAGATGGGCAAAATAGCCCGGCCCTTGTAGGGTTAAACGCCACATTTCTATCACATGCGAGCAGCTTTAGTGACATTGTATTCTTTCTGTTAGTCACATTGGTATTTCATCAAAAGCAAAGTAAAAGGTATAGCGAAAGTAGGCCGTTCCGGGTTTTTTTTGCGGGGGCCATCCTGTATAGTCTTGTTATGATATAGGTATAAAAACATTCACAGGACATTAGTGTAAAATATCATTTTGCTAGACATAGAAAAACCCCGTGTATCATGAAAAAGAAGGGGGCGATTCAGAATAGGCAATATTAAAGCAAAATTCTATCTTTTTTTCGAAATTGTTTTGACCTACCCACAAGTACAACCCAAATCTTGATTTTTAAATGCTGAATGACTATTCAATATATCCTACACACTGAAGAACAAAGTAATGCTTCAAATGAAGCAGATAATTCAGATCAATGCTCTCTCAGCTCACGAGGTTTGAATAGCTTTTCCCAGGCTTCCAGGATGCATAGTTGAAACAGACGGAAATTGCCAACACACAAAACATTGTACAGTGTTTTCCGTTTTCCAAGACACTATATTTACAAAATTTAAAAAGGGTAATGTCGGCTTCGTTATGATTAGCTTGTTCTGTATTCAATGACAGACATGACAGACGGGAATGATCTGCCTGGCTATCAGTCATCATGGTACGACGTGAGTTGAATGCTCAGGGGTAAATGATGACAGCCAGACAGCCAGGCAAATGATTCCAATCCCCAAAACGCAGCCCAGTCACAACATGAAGGATTTTACACAGCTTACTTAACAAAGCAATGAAATTGATTAAAGGCAAGGAACTTGGTCACAGTGTCAAAAAAGAGGCCGCTCGGCATTTTGGGGGTTTTTCCCCTTCTTTTTGTATAAATTTTTCTATTACTTTAATTGAAAACTGAATTTCGATTTTCAGTTCTTTACTTTGACCCACCGAGCCACAATTTCGAAAAAAAGATCGAAATTGTTTAACATTGACTATTTTCAATTGCACTTATGTTGTGTCCCTGTGTTGTCTTCTTATTTTATGGGACACCATCTGAAAGCTCAATAACGTTAGTGTCATCACGTGCTAGGTTCACATCACCATCCTTCTATTAACACTGTGCATATCTCTCACAATGAATTATATTAGCCCGGGGATGGCTTAAACGACTTATCTTATCTCTAAATGGGAGGTCTGCGGTAACACCATGTGAATGATATCTCTATAAGTGAGTTGTGTGGGTCTGAGAAGAACCAGTTGGTTTTACTCGACGTTTCGAACAGTATGTTCTATTCGTCATCAGGAGACTGCCCTGACGGGCAGAGCATCCTGTTCGAAACGTCGAGTTAAACCAACTGGTTCTTCTCAGAACTCACTAAGTGGTATTTTTCAGTCACATTGGTGTTACCGCAAACCTCCCATTCATTTATCATGTCCACCATGCAAACCAAAGTCTTATCTATCTTATATTATCTGGTTACAGTTCTCGCAAAAACTTTCATGTATTTAATAAGTATAACCAAAAAAATGTAATAAAGCAACACCAGCATATGTTTTGATAAAAGTTTTCCCGGCCAATTTCATGAAATGTTCATTCACTTCTGAAAATCGGTCATTCCTTTTCGTCTGAATTTGAATGCCCGTCTTTATTCCCATTTCAATTCAACGATCGCTAATCATTTTCATCGTCCGTGCATTCGGTTTTGAGAAACAGACGGCCAATTACGTTACATGTGCCTTCATTTTACGCAAGCATACCTTTTCTAATTTGATTTCAGGTACAGCTAATTTGATTGACGGTTATTGAAAAAGAAAGCCCTAATTGTATCTGGTGCCGATGGCATTAAACTAAAAGTGAAATAGAATGGTGATTGTTTGAAATCGCCCTCCAAAAGCGATCAAGAAGTCTTGTAAACGAATCTGAATGGACATAAACAAAAGGTGCTGCTCAATCACTTAATCGATTGAACTGAAATTGAATCGAATGCTCTTGTAGCGAAAACGAAGCGCGTATTCAGAGCGATTCTCAAATGCAGACGAAAATGAATGACCGATTTTCAGAAGTCAATGAACATTTTAGAAAATTGGCCGGGAAAACCTATAGTTATACGGCAGTTCAATATGGATAACACAAAGTGTTTGTTAATAATAATCACTTTTTTTTGCGATGTAGCCTACATACAGTATGTCCCCAAAAAAGTGGCCGTCTCAATGTTTTTGGAATTAAAAAATAAAAAAAAACATGAAGTTAATTTTGCAAATTTTATTCGTGCAGATACTCCTAATCCTTGGCCTCAACCCCTATAAGTTTTATATATTTTCCCTAATGCCTCACCGCTGTACGACGGCAAATTAATCACACAACATTTTTTGGACACTGTAACCAAGTTCCTTGCCTTTAATCAATTTCAGTGCTTTGTTAAGTAAGCTGTGTAAAATCCTTCATGTTGTGAAAAGGGCTGCGTTTTGGGGATTGGAATCATTTGCCTGGCTGTCTGGCTGTCATCATTTACCCCTGAGCATTCAACTCACGTCGTACCATGATGACTGATAGCCAGGCAGATCATTCCCGTCCCCAACCGCAGCCCCTTTTCACAACATGAAGGATTTTACACAGGACTATGTGCAGTATGTCGTGGGGGAAATTAATAAACTCATAGGGGTTGAGGCCAAGGATAATGAGCCTGCACAGTTATATAAGAATTTTCAAAATTTACTACGTGGGTTTGTTATTTCGCGGACACTTTTTTTTAGGGGGACATACTAATTTGCTTTCCCAATGCTATTTCGATTTTCACCCGAAAAAATTGTTTATAGCTGATATGACTAGAAAAAAAAGCAATACAATCTTAAAGTTGATTTTGAATGAAAAATCGAACGAACCAAAAGATGCGGCCACGTTTAGATACGAAACCATTTTTTTTTTTGCGGCCCGGCAATAATTTCCGGCGGAGCGTTTTGTGCGCTGCAGGCGAAAAAGCAACTCCAAGGCAAAGCCTTTTTTAAAAGGGTGACAAAACCCAAAATATGAAAATGTTATATAGGCTTTCGAGTTGAAATAAAATACACAAATAGAAGTTTCGTCAAGAAAAACAAAACACGGGAAATGCCTGAGGGAGGGCACGGGAGAGTAACTTTAAGAAAACACGAGACAGAAAAAAAGTGAACAGGAACATTATCGACATAACTCACGGCCATTGTTTTTTTGCATGCTTTATGCATAATGAAAGCTGGAGTATAACGCTTACCTTTGCTGTACGACCCAACGGCACCAGTGCTCGCTCCTGATTTCTCTGCGCGGTAAAAACAATTCTTCCACCTTCTGCTAACCGACTACTAACGAACAGCGTTAATTTGTGTCCGGTGTTTCCCAAATGTTGATGTGAAGACGCACAGCCATCCACATATTATTGCCTCGTTTGTGTCAACTGTAGCATTTCCAATGAGGAGAGAATCGCTTCAGCCGATCTGCCTTTCACTGCGGCCAAACTGCAAGTGCGGGGGCTTTTAAAAACAATCCAATCTCCTTGTTAAAAGGGAGTGTATAGTGGGTGATTTACTGGGGAGGGTATGGATGATGATGGCAAAACAGGATATGGGCCCTAGACGAAAGGCAATCTGCCTGTCGTTGGTACTCGAGTTACATCGCCAATTAGATGGAAAACGAGCGCTGATGCACATCACGCCGCGCGCATGTTACATTTTCATTATAATAGGTGTTGGATTATTAATTTGCATCGTGTAAAATTTACGACGTGGGGAATTTTGCAGAGCCGATTTCGTGTAGTCCTCTCGAGGAGAATAAACACTGACTGTGCCATGGCAGCATCATCATGCAGATAGAGAATATGATAATCAAACATATAGAAATTGCTGGAAATAATGAGCAATGAAATACATTATACAGATAGAGGTGTCCAAAAAAAAGGATGCAAAGTTTGATCCTTTCATAACTCCATGGTCGCATGATGTTGACCAAAGCTTTTTTTTTGGTATATACGTTGGAATAATACCCACCCTATGTCAAAATGTCTGTAAAAAAAACACATTTTAAGTACTCAGCAATATACCTCCAATTGAAACACAGTCTATACAGTGAATAGCATATATGGTTTAGGCAGATCATATCGCCTTTGCAGCAGGCCAACTTGCTTTTAAAAAGTCTTAGTAGTGTGTTGGGTCTTAATAGAACAACACAAAAGAATCGTACGCAAAAGACCTCATTTACATATCAATGAGCCATGATATAACAAGGGTGGACCTATATGATGGCCTATGGAACAGATAGATACCGTATCATAGAGTTGAACTTCCCAATATGTGAATAGGGTACGTTTGCGAACATTTCGCTATAGGGGCATGGAAAGGAGAGTCGTCAATGCCGCGCACACACCCGTTTTCAGTACCAGTATAGGGATAAAGAAACGTCGGACGAACTGTACAACGTTTAAACGTTAAAAGGGAAACTGTTTGTAGAGCAGATGATCGCGACCGTTTCGGCATTCGCTCTGCAAGGAAACGTTAAGGAAGTTTTCGTTAATGGGCCTGCCTGCATGTTTGCACATTAAGACTCAAGGACATACGCATATTACAGAATTTTTAAGTGGAAGTGGGCTGACGTCATCCGATGAAACATCTATATTCAGTTTATGTGCACCAGTTTTCATCGGCTGCTATGTGCTACCATTCGGCACTCCAGACTCACAATCCATTGAATTTCAAGAACATGGGTCTGGGAGCTACATAAACCAATGTAAAAAAAAATCCCGGTTTTTGGCGCACACCTATACTTCGTATAATTATTATTATACGAAGTATAATTATTATTATACGAAGTCCGGCACTGCTTGGGTCCTGTATAACATTATGCACAGATAGTATCGAACCTTGAAGCTCTTGTATCAGCGCATCTTGCATTAGAGTACTCTCCTAAAAGCATTGCTACTGTCCTGGAGAGGGTGGGTTACAATTCCACGTGTGCTCTTTGTGTGTGCTGTTAGGGTGCTTATCGGATGGTGGTATTGTCAATTTGTCCCGAGATACAACTGGTAGCTCCATCCCTCTTATAGGGAGAGTTTCTGTCTGGAACCCTTGGGAGTGTCTGGAGTGCCGTTTAAACCTAATAGTCTGTTCCATACTTTTCTGCAAAGAACGGATTTAAAGGTCATTGGAACGATACGATGTGAGTCAATGATGGAACGATGTGGCGTTGATATAATTAAACTTCACAGCAGGCCTTAGCTGCGATATCAATCATCCAATTGGAGTCACCAATTGGGCTATATAACCACTTGCACAAATACACGAATTGCACACGTACATAATGATTATATAGGCACAGGTCGGTGCACTGCCTGGGAGATTCTGCAGTGGTTGACTTCAGTTAAGCCATCATTAATTCTTGAGAAATGAGATTGCCCGTCGATCATCGCTACAACCATGGGCGGAAATCCTGGGGGGAGGGGAGAGATGGGGCGATATATCCCCCACTTTTTGACAACGGGTGATTGACCATTGGATCATCTCCTACCCCACCCCCAAAGTTTGTTGTGAGAAACCCCCCCCCCCAAAAAAAAAAAAAATCAGATTTGTGGTTATCGTCACTTCCCAACTGTCCAAAAACAGTTCCGAAAAACGAGTACAAAAGCTTTAAACTGAAGAGACGCGAGCGCGAAAATGTTGCATTTTAACATTATTTTGTATCATGAACAGTGACCCTTTTATGGTGCCGAAACTGTTTTATCTGTTTGAATTGCGAGATAAAAATCACGCATAGTTTGAACCGTTCTGTAAATAATAATGGGCGAATGACGTGCTTTGCCCCTGGCGAAGTCCATGCACATAGCATTGTTTTTCACTTCAAACTGTTATAAAATGAGTTCACGGAGGCCCCCACCACTTCAAACTGTTATAAAAAGAGGCCCCCACCACTTCAAACTGTTATAAAAAGAGGCCCCCACCACTTCAAACTGTTATAAAAAGAGGCCCCCACCACTTCAAACTGTTATAAAAAGAGGCCCCCACCACTTCAAACTGTTATAAAAAAAGTTCACGGAGGCCCCCACCCCACCCTTATCATTTTAGCACCCATATTGCACAAACAATAAATCCATTCAATGACTGCCTGTCTGCACAGCAATGACACAACCCAGTTTATCATAACACTGCTACTGCATTCCGCAGAGTCGTGTCCCGTCGTAACGTCGCTCCCTTGCCATTGCTTTTGTACAGTATTGCGTCGCGTCGTGCTTCGCGTGTGGTCGTTTCCCGTCGCGGCGTCGTGCGTCGCGTCGTGCGATGCGTCGTACGTGCGTCGCTTCCTGCTGCCGAGAGAGGGCACAATGACGTACATCTAATAAGATTTCTTGCGGCAACGTCATTTTTGTAAGGCAGAAGTAACTCAAATTCTAAGAAACAACATTTTTTTCCTGCTTCCGTTTCAACAGTAGTTTAATGTTACCAGACCTCATGTAACGGGATAGCGCGATGTCAATTCAAAGGAAATGAGGATTGTATGTCCAGAAATTTGATCTGAAAAAGTGTGTCGTCGCATGCGTTTTTCTGCTTTTTTCAATTGGCGGGGCTGCCCTGCTTTTTGGTCGATAAACAGCTGAATATTTGGTTGCTATTTCAAGGAAAAGTAAAAAAAAAAGAAGGAAACACTGCTGCCGACGACACACTTTTTCAGATCAGATTTCAGGACATACGATCTTCATTTGCTTTGCACTGACACCGTGCTGCCCTGTACCAGGAAGTCTGGTAACATTAAACTATTGTTTTAAAACGAAACAGGAAACCGTGAGGCTGAATTAATGGACGCATGTAAGAGAGATCATTGAAGGGGCGTGGCATGTTCAGGATAATTGGCCAAGGGGAGGACAACCCAAAATTTGGCTCAGTGTCTCCCAGAATAGAAGGGAAACATTGAAAATCTGTATTGTTTTCTTTTTCTTGTTTTATGATTTTGTTTGTACTATGTGCTTTTTTTTAAATTCAAATTTAGGTGCGAGTTTAAAATAGTTTAAATCTGAACACTGCGTCATATACGCCTATCAAAACGCGGGTTACGTACGATACCCCGATCTAGACTTTTAATTAATAGTTCGGTGGACGCCAGTGTAAAAATCAACCTATACCACTTTTGCTACGAAAAACAATCACGAACTCCAACCTCCATTTGTAATTGCCAAAGACGGTACTTTTTTCACGTACTATGACCTACACAGTGTCGCGACAGAATTATCACAATTTTGGACCCCACATTTCTGGACCTTGACCTTGAGTGTTAATGTTGTCGGCATAGACCATTATCATGTTGCGGCCATTTGGATTTTTCCCATTCAAATCAACGTAATCAAAGCGAGGCTGGAAGGGAAAATAGTCTGGTTCCTTTGTGCACAACAAAATTAATTATCATTCAGTACTGTTATTGGATACAGGGAACATGACTGAAATGGTGGCAGCATGATAAAGGTATATTGATGGATAATAACTCAAGAACAGTTCTGTCAAATTTGACAGGACAAAATATGTAGAAGTTACCGATGAGGACATTTTTTTAACATTTCTTAAGAAATCGGCAAATGAACACAAACCAAGTTACGATGGCTTAGCCTTTTCTAATTGATTTGTTTTCCTGCGGGACCTTGTACATGCTCTTACAACAAATACTAAATTTGAACTTGAGTTATAATAATGAGTTCTGCTGAAATACACGATAACCAATGTTTAATTTCATTTTGAAACTTGGATTAAAAATGCATCCGTGCCGAATTTTGAGGGCAAACGTTCGTTCCCGGTGAGATTATCTCACTCCATGGCAACACGAAGCTACCATGACGAGGTCAAATATGCTTCCACTATACCATTTCTGCTAAATATCAATGGTTTACCGATAATCTTTATTGTGAGCAGAATTGTGACGCCAAGACATGAAGGATGAATGCAACAAAGCCACAACATTTCAGCTCGGTTAAGCTGCTCAGAAAAGAAACGTGACACTGATAAATTGCTGATAAATTAATTATCTCTTGAATTGCGAGAAAAAAACGAGTATAGTTGCCGCAAGCCCTTGGTATAATTATCTTACATGTCACACGAACATCATGATGTATCACCTCGCTGTAAACCGAAGGACAATTAAATATTGGAAGGAAAGTGGTGAGTCACACAGGTATAGGTGGAAATGGTAAAAAAATGTTTGATGTTTTGAAGGAGACGAAAGTGATGTTCTGTTTTTGAAAAAAGGGGGGGAGGGAAATGGGGGGGGGGGGGGGGGTGAGACCATTCCCCCCCCCCTTCACAACAACTCTTGCTGGTAACAG